TCTAATTATTCTATAAATAGTCAGTGTTTGTAACTCTTAATTAGTTAAATCATTCTGGACTAGTGTTACTTTTACTTCCTACCAATTACTCCTTGTGATCTTGGGAAAGTATGTTCAAAGATGAACAAAGAACCATCACCAAAGACCAAAACGAAATTCATCCTACCGTACATCGGAAATATCTCTGAAATAACGGCTAGAATAATGAAACCGTTTGATATAGATGTAGCACACAAACCAGCCGAATCGCCTAATTCGATCTTATGCAAACCAAAAGATCCAACAGAAAAAGGAGATAAAATTAACATCATTTACAAAATAAATTGTATGAACTGTAACAAGCATTACATCGGCCAAAGTGGGAGTCCCCTTCGAATAAGAATACAAGAACACAAATCAGCTGTGAAAAGACATGATATAAATTCTTTAGTATCAATGCATACAGACAATTATGGACATCAATTTGATTGGGATAATATCAAAATCTTAAACAGAGGAAACACCAAATGTGCCAGGGAATTCCTAGAAGCCTGGTACTCAAACAAAAATGCCATTAATAAACACGTTAATATAGATGAAATACATCAACTAATAAAAAGCAAATCAGGTGACGAGAAAGTTTGAAATCCCAATCAATAGAAGATGGTCAATACATATGTGAAGATGGTTGGTCACCAGGAGACGCAATTGTGTCATCATTCATGATTTTTAAATCACTTAACTTTATGCTAAATACTGCGCTGAAGATGCCGTCCAGAAAGACGACGAAAGCTCCGCAACTGAACCAACCAGCTCAGAGAACACTATTAATCGCAAATGAACTCATATTATCCTGGTACAATCGTTGTTCTTGCTTTGTTCAAGTTTATTAATGGGAAGAATTGCATGAAGTCTAAGTAATAGCTAAACTTGTTGAAAAGGTCACTGGGAAATATGTTGTTGAGAACAAACGATGTAACGAATTATTAACATCAGCAGAACACGGCCTCACGAATAGCTCCTTGAGCTCTCTTTCTCTCTCAATTTGTAGAATTTCGCAACAGCTACTCATTTTGAATATAAACAAAAAACTGTTTTCACTCCTTTACCTCGCTGAGCCAGAAGTAATGCTGGTAAAGAGGAAAGGTTAGGCATGAGGCTAGCAACCCCATCCTGTAAAATAAACACTGCTACAGAAACTTCAAGTCACTAGCTTGAAGCCCTATGTTCCACTGGGAAAGTGAAGGAAAAATTATTATTATATTATTATTACTCATTTTGTAGGCCTATAAAAAACAGAATCATTTATGGTAATTTAGTGCGGGGTCACTGTTTTGGGCAGTGTCTGGTCACTAACACCAAATTCTAGGTGTGGCAACCTACATAGGAAGAGCTGCGATACTAAATTCAAACGGTATCTACGTAATCCCTCTTTACAGACTGTTAGGTGTATAAAAGACCTCTGTGTTACTCAGAGAACTTGAGGTTTCTGATAATATCTGGACCTGATATCTTTTGAGACTAGAATCCGTAGAATATGCGGCCTCAAATCATCAGAAACGGAGATCACCCTTTTGAGGAAGACACTATTTGAGAATGGTTATCCACCACACTTTATAGATAAACACATAAAGGCGAAAGGCAACAAATAACATAACAACCCATCTCTGTGCCGAAGAAGATGCTATAATTGAATATGGCTTTCGAAGGGGATCTTCTGGCCGACATCTTAAAGAGAAGAATATCTAACACCCTGAAAAAAAATATTCTCTGCTGCTACATTATGACTGGTATTCTCAAGCCGCCCATTGTTCTTCAACCATTCAAAAGATAAACTATCGCATTTGACCACTTCAATGTGTATCTACCAATTTACTTGCTCACATGGAACGAGATCTATGGATCGTTCGATGCATGTTTTATTCAAAAGAGTCAAAGAATATTATCCCGCTTGGCTACGAAAAGGTAACAATGGGTCAATAAAGAGTGCTATAATTGAACATATAGTCAACACTGGTTGTCACTCAATATGCACGGAGAATTCATTCAAAGTCATTACAAAATCAAAAGAAGCCTCGCAACAACGGTAGCTTCCGTATACTCTGCATTGCCAAGGCGCGATCCGGATAGAAAACCCTGATTTATGTACATAGAAGAAACTTCTCCACCCTTTCCTTCTACGTTGGGTATGACTCCAGTTCTACGACTTGGTTAATAATGCGTTTTTTGAATTTTTATGACTTCTTAATAACATCTTTTTCCTAAAAGAACCCTTCATTTCTTATTTCTACCTGTTACACAATTTATTTTGGACACTTGTCTCCATATTCTTTAATTGACATCCTACTTTCTGGGTGTCTTTCATATTACGCAACCCTTGTCAATAGTTACTAATCTTCACCCCCCCCCACACACACACAAGTTACAATTTGATTATTCATCACATTTCGAAACACTGAGATGACGTAAACAATAACTCAAAGTAATTTTTATATCTACAATAGTCGAAATTCATTCTCTAAATGCACAAGACTCACTGGCCTTCTTCACTAAGAATTGTACACTAGAGAGGCTAAATTTCTTCTTGTACAAGGCTACAGTTCGTCCTGTACTCGGTCCCGGCACAACCATTTAATAACAATAATAATAATCTACTTTATTTCAAAAACAGTACTTATAATACAGAATGGAATTCCAGCATTTGTCACAATACTGCATCTGATTTACTTAAAATATAAATAAAATTAAAAATTAAAAGAAAAATTAACCGAAGGAATTCGTCCACGTTTACGATATAAAGTCAAAAATATTCGAAGTACAAAATAAGAATAATATATACAATAATAATAACAGTGAGTTTGTTTCAAACAGTATTGTGGATTCAGTTTGGAAATTTTAGCATGTTATAAGGGTATTGAATCCAATGTTCTGTTGATATAGTATGATGAGGGGAAATACAAAATTAAGTTATAACATAGCTTAAATGATGTTTACACTACTGAGAAAATAAACAAATAAAAACAAAAAATTGAGAGGATTATAAATATAAGAAGTACAATAACAATAAAGGTTGATGTTGTAAGGTTGGAGGTAATGGTTTATTCAGTAATGCAAAGGTTTGTTAGTTCGTGCCTAACACTATTTTCATCACATAAAGTACGCGCCAGATATGGTATAGTGGAATTTTTATACTTAGACGTACGTGCATAAAGTCCTCTGAAAAAACTTCTTGTTTTGCTTAAAGAGACACAAGGTTGGAGCCTGTTGAAAATGTTCAACACAGTCTTACATGATGCCTAGAACGCACTGATGGAAGTCTTTCTCATGTAGTTAGCTGCATACGATGTGAAATTGAGCAGCTTTGACGGTGGATCTCAAAACTCAGTCTGACTTTTTGCACAGAAGCTGCAGACGTAATTGGTCCACCTATATTACACACGATGGCCACAAGCAGACAACACTTTTACTACCAAGGACCGAATGAAACTGCATTTACAGTCTTTCGTTATGCACTCTGGAACAAAATCCAAATTTTCGTCTCTGTTTGCTGATTTCCCTTTCGCCTATGACCACTCCCCAATGAACTTCCTGTTATTTAAAGTTATCCGTTGGTTCACTAATACATCCTTTACTTATACAGACTCTCCTAGAAGTGCAACTACTACAATACGAAACCACAATAGCAGTTAGTCACACAGAATTCTATACGTTATACCCCCAACTATATGAGGACACCTGTCTATCGTCGCTTTTTAATCTCTGTCTGAGCTGTATATTCAAATCGGACATTCGATGCCGATTCCCTACATACAGAGGACTTGAAGTGTCGAAACATTTAGGACAAAATCTGACTGCTAAGTGGCAATGGACGAGACAAATATATGACAGCACACAGCACAACTTGTGACCTCAGCTGTTTTCAATGAGAAGCTAGTAACTGTATTTACACTCTTTTATTACCCTAATCGAATGCATTTTTTGATTGACTTGGTTGTTGAATTAGCGTTGGGTACTTAACTAAATATACTTCACTATTTCTATCTCATCCAACAGTTGCACCACAATGCTGAATGTCAAGTAATGCACAGCGGGAAACTCACGAATCCTTCAAAGTGAAAATGGGAGTAAGACAATGCTGGCTGCCTACTATCTCCAGTGGTTTTCATGATTGCAGTAGACTGTATAGTGCGACAGACAGACAGCGGGCAGTGAGGAGATATGCATAAAATGGACCCACAAAAAAACTTAAAGGATATGGACTTAGCCGATGATATATACCTGATTTCCCACAAACTGGAAGATATGTAAGTGAAAAGCAACAAGTTGGCGGTGGAAGAAGAAGCACCAAAGATAGGACTTCAGGTGAACATAGAGGAGTCACAGTTAGGTGATGAAGACTCCTGGCCAACAGCAACTGACAACAACAACAACAAATCAGCATAAACGGGAGGAATCTGAAAGAAGCAACCTCATTTACCTACCTTCTATCTGGGAAGCATCGTTTCAACTACAGGCGGGCGGAACTGATGAGGATATCAAAGCAAAGATCGGGAAAGCAAGGCAAGCTTTCATTACTGGAGATCAACAGCACTCAACATGAAAAATAAGATCCGGATTTTCAACTCTAATGTGAAGTCAGTGCTACTATACCGATCAGAGACTTGGCGCAGCCTTACGAAAGCCAGTTCGAACAAACTACAGACCTTCATCAACGGCTGTCTTTGCTCAATACTCAAGACCAGATGGCCATCAGAAAAATTCAGCAACAGAGTGACCTCTGGGAGAGAACCAACTCAGTAGGAACAAATTGTGCAACAAATATGCAGGAAGAAATAGAGGTGGATTTGCCATTCTCTGAGAAAACAAATCACCAAGTGACATCATACGCCAGGCCGGTGCTCAGGTGAAGAAAGCCGAATAGGAAGTGGCGAGTTGGTCATCAGTACGAGGGTGACTTGGGGGAGGTCATGTGAAGAGGAGCCAGGGGGAGACGTTGGCAGAGAACCGAACGCAGTGGAGACGTGCGTCTGAGGCCCTATGTTCCTCTAGGAATTAAAGGAAACAATAATAATAATAATTTCTAAAATGCAGGAAAGTAATTAGTTTCAAACTATAAATACGTAATTTCAGTAAAAACATTCACACCTGTACTAACCACTTGTGTCTTCTGAGACAGAAACAAGTATTATATTACCTGCCTAATATACACCCCCAATAATAACTAAAAGATGCTCTGGATGCCGAACTCTGCCCCACCGGAACAAGCTGGATTCAGGAAAGGCAAATCATGTGCTGACCAAATTACAACTGTAAACACCAACCATCACCAACAAACACAGCATAGAATGGCAGTCAACTCCCTGTTTCGACTCCATCAACTTTTTAAAGATCCTCGACAGTTTTGATCGCGGAGTAATCTGGAAGCTACTTCAACACTGTGGAGTGCAGTGCTCAAAACTATCAACCTCATTCAACAGTTATATGACAACTCCACACATCAAGTGATCCACAAAGGAAAACTTAGTTCTTTCACATGAGTCAGAAACTTGGCGCGTCACGAAAAACATGCCTAACAGGCTACCTCAGACTTCTATCAATAGCTTACTTCGCCGGCTCTACGCTGAAGATAAGATCACCAGTCAGAAAGAATTAGCTACAAGGAACCAACCAAGGATCTGTTGCTCAACAAATGTGGAGAAGAAAATGGAGATGGGTGAGACACATGCTCAGGAGACTGTTGAGTGACATTGTGCGCCAGACCCTCAAGTGGGAGATGACAGGTTGGGTGTCGATGGTTGAGACTGAGGTGATTGTGTGATGAGGAGATGGAAGCATAAGGGCAATCCTGGGGTAAATTGAAGAGGACTGCAGACAACAGGAGCCCTATATTCCATTCGGAACCCGAAGGAATAATAACAACAGTGACTTGCTGTCTGGGAAAATGAGCTGTCTACGTAATAAAACACTGAATAACAACAGAATATGAGAACCCCGAACCTTGAGAAAATTACCTCAGTGTTGTACTTCAATCGAGAGATTTTCAAACCCCTGTTTTTGTTACCATTCTCCCAACTTTAAGTTCGCCAAGAGTAAATGACACAACAACAAAAACAACTTAACACTGTACTTTCCCATGAGCATTTAGAAGCACTTTCGCCACCTGAATATTTTCAAGGCATACACCCAGACTTATGAAAATTGACATCAAGATTAATAGTCTTGCGATGTATTCCAGAGATTTCCAAGCAGAATTACGGAGGGGGGATTGCGACGCACAACACACACTTAAAGAACTACCCTGAAGGATATGTTAATTATGTTGCAACCGAGGATTGAAGGACACTGTGATAAGGACTCATCGCATTTCAAGTGGCAATTGACATAATGTCGTCTATACCGCATACAGTGTTATCAGTTCTCCTCAAAAGCAATTTATTACAAATCAGTTCACCAGAGGAGAGGGGGAAAGTGTGTCTAGACAAAATCCCTTCAGTTAATGTTCTCTCTGAATCCAGCGTTTTCACAGCTGGTAGAGTAAAAATAAAGGTAAAGGATTTCACAGTACTGTTTCTCGGAAAGAAACAAGTCAGACGGGAAAATTCTATCAATTTTTTGTAATTATGACATCAGATAGAATGAATATTAAACGGTTGTTGGTCTGACTGTCCGAAACATTAAGACGAGAGCTACTAATTTTAGATAGGTATTTGATGAAACAGTTCTCATTAAAGAAATTGCGATTTGATAAGTCATATAGAGACTCCATTCTGAAGACTACCGACTGCTCCTCTGTTATATGCTCAGGTTTCAAAAGTTTACGTTATTTATTAGAAGCTAAGCAGCGATGTAAAATGACGCTAAAAGAAACATAAGGAATTCAAAATTTACATGCACCAATCGTTAATGGGACATAAAACACACGTCGAAGACCATGGTTTTAAGTCTGGTGCCTTAGAGGGACTAGGCAAATCCACAATTGCTGGCAGGTATAACATTATTACATGACGACAGTAGTTATTTTAATTCCTGTTTTGAACTTATGAGTAGATTTCGTGGCGCAGGTGGCCATTTTGATCTCTACTGAGTGTACAAACACTATTCTGAACGTAGGGTAATTTGTGCGAATATAATACTATGTTTGAGTAATACTACTATAGGAGGTAGCATTACTGTCTCACTGCTGTGATCTATGGTAGTACCCGTGCAGGAAGAAGTCATAAGGTAACTGCAAGGGCAGTAGAAAAGTAGTTCACAACGACTATACAACATCTAATGATACTTAAGAGAAGTCACAATTATAACAACAATATTATTCATCTTATACCTAAAACTTAGATGATGAAACTTTACAATGTTTTACAGTAACGAGTAGTTAAAACGTACGGTATTAATAAGGAGATACCAGTCTATGTCTATTGCAGGTATTCATACGAAAAGATTATGGAGAGATGTTCAACCCAAAGGTCAGAGTGCGACAAATCATGTATAAAAACAGCAAAGGGTTAGTCAGTGCGCATCCTAGATTCTAAAACAGCAAGCCAATATCATGTACTTGCATTATCAAGGGTTCGTTGGCGATTCAATGGCTGGACACTCACCAACAATTCACATGGTCCGCAGTTCAAACCCCTACCAACGCGCTCTTAAACTCCGCCTAGCCCGTAGTAAGCCAATTAAATAGGCGAATTCGGGCTTGGGGCCACGTAAAAACTAAGCACCACTGCTACAAAAAGTTTAAAGCTCTATCTTGAGGCCTTATGTTCCACTTAGAACGCAAAGGAATAAAATAAAAAGGAATCATTACTAAGCACTGGGTCTGAGACAGTTTTCTTCTTCGCTTACATAGAATTCAAACTTAGCTAAGGATTGTGGTATCCCACAGAAAATGCTGCTTCCCAAATGCCTCCACCATTAGGTCGGCTGATCAGCAATCACCAGCTATCTTGCTTACAATTTGCTTATTTAATGAAAAAAAGAGAAAACAGGAAGAGGAAACCTTATGTTTGCAACGCCATCACTTACTACGGTTATAGGCACCAAAGAACTATTTGAAAGAATAATTTATCGTTCGTCACCAAACACCATACCCCCTCTGTACCTTACTTAAGTCCTTTTATTTTGTTGTTTCTTAATGTTCTTAATATCTTGGTCAATATATAGTGATATTTTGTTAATTAATCGAGGTTATAACCCAGTATAATCCTCACATAATCCTCCAGTGACTAGTAATGGTTCTTTTGATTATAACCAATGAGCCAATTAATCAAATTCACTTAATCCGTGTGAATACATTCTGTATCAAAACAAATTTAGGATGAAAGCGAAAATAAATATGTACACCAACTTACACTTGACGCGGCAAACACTAACTGAAGTGCTAAAACATTTTATATTCTTCAGTACCCCCTCACTGGTGAGGCTGCTAACAATGGATGCAGAAACATGCTTGTAAAAAACCATCCCCAATAATACCTAAGCACCCATCCAACTGGAATATAAAATTATTGTAAGTTTAACTTACCATCAAATTGTGGTTAGGTCATACGAGAATTCGCCAAATGACGACAGAGAAACGTGCAGGTGGTGAACACTCTAAAAGTACATGTACTTACACCATGTCAACTTCTGGATAAATGAAGCCATCAGAAGACATTAATACATAAGCAGCTGTGAATATATATACTATGCAGGTTTGTTTGAAATCCGCAACTAATCTCCCCCTAGCATATTCCGTTAGTAAAGCTCTTTGCAATCATCTATACTAGACGTGTAACTAGCATGCCTAAAGACACAGAACTGGCTCGTCATATCCATGGTGTGTGCCTAGATAGATGGAAAATCCTCCTCAGGACATATATATAATCGAAAAAAGTGATTCAGAGAAGTGACTGTTTTCAACAAGTTTATTAGAAGGCTGTATAATGGTATTTACATGATTTTTTTAAAATAATGATGCGAATTCCAACAAAAACGACTGGTCATGTGTATTTTAGAAAGTCAATGAAATGTTGAGATATCAAAGAAGGGTCTATACATAATAATACTATTAGGCGATTAGAACATTACGCAACAAGGTGATTATGATAAAACATTGGTTGGGAACTCAGAGAAAGATATCTTTTTGGTAATTATACAGTATACTAGCAAACTTTTCTAAGTCATTACTGAATGCCGAACAAAATTAACAAGTTCTTTCTTTCCTAAAGGGTTGAGATTAGTAGTATCAATATTTAAAGTATTATATCACCACAATATATGCAAAAGTGACACTAAGTACAAGAATAAGAATAAAAAAGAGGAAATCAGATAAACTTATTTACACGTAGTTTTTAGAAAACACGTTCGTAATACGAATTATCATCTGGTTGAGGTGGACGACGATTCGGATGCATAATACCAGGCCCACTAAGGTAGTTCATCTGCTGACCTGGGCCAACAACAGGTCCTCGAACTATTCCTGCACGATTTGCACCCTGCAACATACGACCACGAACATTGCTCGATGATAAAAATTCAAGATATGATGTTCCAGATTTAGAAAATGATCTTAAATCACCTGCAGGAGGATCCTCGTAGAAATAATCGTGTTGAAGAGCTTGTTCAGCATCAAGACGTTTGCTAGGATCTAAGACAAGCAACTGGTCAATAAGATCAACTGCAGCAAGAGATGAAATTTTAGGAGTTAGTTTCTCTCGAACATGGCGCTTGATATCTTGTGGTAAACGAGCTTCTCGATAAGTTTCTAAACGTTCTACACCAGGCCAAATTTCAGGTGTTATAGATCCACAAAGATTGATGATTAAGTTCAACTGGCTTATTTCGTTATCCCCCTGCATAATCGGATACTTTGTCCATAATTCAGCCATAATACATCCAGCACCCCACATATCAACAGGCTTTCCATAATGACGATCATTTAACAGAATTTCTGGAGGTCGATACCACAACGTAACCACGCGACCAGTATAGCGTGTTGGTCTATCAGGTCGAATAGACGCAACAGTGGTACGAGCTAAGCCAAAATCAGCTATCTTCAGAATACCATTTTTGTCAATCAAAATGTTTGCAGCTTTTAAATCACGATGTAAAACGTTATTTAGATGAAGATAAAATACTCCCGTGAGTAATTGTTTCATAATTGCCTTCTTAACAGGTTCTGTAAAGTCAATTTGTTGACTCAGACCCGCAAGATCATGGTCACAAAACTCAAAAACGAGATAAAATTGTGGTTTAAATCCATTGCCAGCATTAGGTGGACTATGGCATATTTCTTTCAGACGCACAATGTTCTCGTGATCGAGGGATTGTAAAATTCTGATTTCTCTTAAAGCAGTTATGGGAAACCCTTCTTTTTCTTGCTCCATACGTATTCGTTTCAGAGCAAAATGCTGCTTTGTGGACTTATGCCGAACTTTGAAAACCTCCCCAAAAGTACCCTGACCGATTTTCTGCAAACGGACATACTGATCCACAGGCTTTGTCTTGGATATACCTTCCAACTCTCGTTCTACCATTGTAAAAAATTTGGTAGGGTCAGCTTGTAAATCTGCTAGTAACTCTGCTTTGAAGTTTTCATCTTGTAGTAAGGCCATGAGTTTATAACTACAGTCAGCCTTCAGTTGAATTTGGCTGGCCCAGCTCTAATAGGTTTACATTTTGTTAAATGTGCCAAATCTAGTTACTAAAGTTAGATGGCTGAAATTATCCAGCATGTTCAAGGTCATTGGCGAAGTGAGCCGCTCAAAGGTCATTTTCGTCCATATTAGTCGACCATGTTGGATTGCATTTCCGTAGCCGTTCGTTTACACATCGGTTTTCCCGTTTATCCTGCATTTATTCACAACTTATCTTGATGCGCATTGTCCACAAATGTTGTGTTTCACCTCATTTTTGTTTCCGTTGCTGTTAAAGTTACTAATTTCGTATGTTTCGGAAGTTTTTACTACCAGGGTAGTGCATTCATTCCATTACAATTGTTTCACACGTTGTTTTCATGCCTGGTTGCAATGTTTTAGTTGTTTTTTCAGCTACTAATGAAGTAGTTCTGCGTGGAAGTTTAGGTAAATATGCACGTGAACGTGTTAAGCTGACAAAAGCCGTTGTTTTTAGTCCATTTGCTGGTTGCCGTTATTGTTTCTTGCTCAACTGATTAATTGGTATGTAGAAATTTGGAAAAAACAATGTCTTTCACATGCATGTTTACAGCTTGCAGCAATCTGTGAGTCAATCTGGTGATGAGAATACGATCAGGTTTGATATTGGCTAGGTTTACGAAGAGCATATTAAACCTGGAGATTTCAAAACGTGGTTTGAAGTTGAAAAAGCTTTGAAGCTTTTCGAGAAGCTGAGTATACCATCAGTGTATATTATCAGTTAAAGAATCAGATATACTGTCAGAGAATCTATATCAAACAACGTTGAGTCACATGAGAAGTATGAATCTGTTGTGCCTGTATGTAGTTTTGGAACTGAAGGAAACTTGAAAGCAATGAGAAACCCCTGAATGGTAAGTGTTACCTATCCTTACTAATGACCAATGTACTAGATCCAAATACATGAACTAAGACCGCCTGTAGAAAAGCCGTTGTTAACGGCCATTCAGTGTGTTGCAAAACCACTTCAAAAGCGGATAGCATGATGATCTGGTGAGTGTACGAACTATCCCAGTTAAAGGTAAGACTTTAATTAGCGAGAATAACATTCGGGTTGTGGTCTACAACAAGCTGAGAAGCCCATTATTATTCGGAGTGAAAATATTGGCTGAATACAGATTGTTTGCTTCATTTCAAATAATGAAATTCCTATTTTGTGGATGTTTGTGATTTCTCCGTGGCTATAAATATGGATGCCCATGGTCTTTAAGAAAACTAAATAAATTTTCCTGAAACCATTGGTCTTCTTTTTCTTGGTGAAACATCTGTTAATACTATTAGATGATTAGGTAGCAAAGTAGGATTTTCTGTGACTAGGAATCGTAGTCGTCGTGTTTCGGATTAATATCGCGCTTGTAACTGTTATAACCCTATGGATATAGGTTTTCCCTCATGGCACATTATGGTATCTAGAAGTCATAAGCATACCGTCTTCCGTAAATTTATTCTTACTCTTTAAGTGACTGCAAATAGTGAGTCATTTGAAGTGACAGGATGAATACCTCTAAACGCTTTCGTGAAGATTAGGATGTATTCATTTTTTCGACTAAAAGACGATTTTTTTACCAAGAAGGTCCCCAGGATGTCCACTTTTACTTTGAAATTCAAAGATAACGTTAAGTTGCTCCGTAAGGTAGTAGCTAAGGGTGATTACCTTCAGCGGAAACCACTTCAAGGTAACTACGTGGCTTTAGGTATTGCGTCATAGAAGTAAGCAACGTAGGTTAATTGTGTCCAAATATATTAAACGTTGTATAACTGGTCAAATCGTAGCTCTTACATACTAGTTAGTCTTATAAATAATGAATGCACCGTACAGACGTTTACTTTGATTTGCATACCTAGCTCATAAGCATTATACCTGCATGTGGTATACATTTAAGGCTGATACGCTGTGTGATGAGTTCTGCAAAACACGGTTGTATCATGATTAAAGCAATAAAAACAGGTCAAGTATAGGTAAGATGCACGGAGTGACAAACTGTAAGAGGAGGGGATGAGTTATGCTTGAGTGCCTTAACTTCTTAACGTGAACAGTGAGACGAAATTTAACTTTAGAAATCGCTTAGACATGGGAAGGCCAGGATTTGCCAGAAGAAAGAATTAATCCAAGATACCTAACTTCAGACTTGATTTATTATAATTTCTATATCACTCATAAATTATACAACGGTAATGGGAATTAACAACTCCATTTAAGTTTCTTTTACATCTAAAACTGAAATTAACTGCCTGACATTTGGAAGGATTTAGTTTAAGGCCGTTAGACGAAGACCATTTGCTAATTCCTGATAGAAAGCTGTTCATTTTAGTACTGTTTAGCTGGCAGTTGACAGACACTGAAAGAGTTAGATCATCGGCATATGTCAATGAAGTTGAAGATTGAACGATCAATTCTTGGTTGTTTGCTCAAAATCAATCCCTTTGGGCATCAATACGACAGTCATCGTCTCATCGGTCGCTGTTCAGAAAGAAGTCAGGAGACAACCATCAGAAGTAATCTTGTGATTTATTATTGTAATATTTGTTCACAGACCTTAATAGAAATATTTTTTATATGTTGGTGTTACAATAAAGAATTCCCAAGCGGCCAATCGGTGTTTTCGTTTTTCGTCCGTTATTACTAAGCGTTTCTGAAAAACTGCAAGGAACAGCGTGGGCCCGAGCGTAGCAAGAGCTGGGCATTAACGGTTTATGAGACGTGACTGACAGTTTCTGATGGTAGAAACAGACTTTGGCGGATTCAGACAGTTGGTGAAAGTTTGGATAGTCACCGTTCATCTTTCCTGGTGCCGGTCAAGTCCTCTTTGAACAAGCAATATCTGGAACTTTTTGGAATTGGGTCAAGTTCAACAATGCCTGGGTCAAAGAAGGGACAGAGTGTCTTGGATGCAAACAGGAAAGTAAGTCATGGTGACTTGTCTGTTAATTGTAACGATGTGTCTGATGTTAAGCATGACATGGTTGATGTTACTGTTTCGCCGTTCAGGGATAATAGGAACATCAAACTCCCTAAATTAGAACCACGGTGTTTTGATGGAAACCCGGCTGATTATTTACAATTTGTAAAGGAGTTTGAGATCATGTTGAGTAGTTTTCTATTAAATGATGAATTGAAGTTAATGTATTTGATGAGATATTGCACTGGAGATGCTGCAAGAGCTATACAGTGCTGTAAGTTTATGAAGCCAAAAGAGGGCTACTACGAGGCTATGAGCATATTACGTCAAAGGTTTGGAAGACCTTCGATGATTGCAGGGAAATTATTCGAGGCTGTTAAGGGTAATGGTGGTCAATTACAGGATGACTCCCAGGCACTCACTGAGTTTTTAGATAATTTGCTAATTTACAAGAATGGAATGATTTCGATGAATCGCATGAGTGACCTCAACTCGAGTTTTATACTAGAAGTAATAGCAAGACGTCTACCTACTCGACTGCAAAGGAAGTGGGTGAAGATAAGCTCCCGTATGGAGGATGAGGGTATCGAGCCAAAGTTTGATGATATCCTGAAACTGGTAAACAATAGTGTCAATCAATCTATGAGCAAGTTCGCCAGTCTATTACATCTCACCCCTAGAATAGAGCAGTCTGAGAGCAAAATGCAATCATTGATGACGAGTAGGCCTCAGAGAGGTGGATATCGAGAAGGCTCCATGATGTCTAGTAATGCATATAGACCTAGTGAGTGTAACAGGTTTCGTAGTACATCCTCAACAGATAAGTTACAAGATGCAAGACAAACACGGTTGTGTTTTACACGTGTGCAAGAGGTGCATACAGAAGTGAACTGTGAACCAGTGAGCAAGTTCAGTGATAAGCTAAATGTAAACTCCAGGTCTGACTCCGAATTGTGTGACGATAACGGTGCGGTGAAGAAGTCTGTAGTTGCAACTGGTAAGCCATTGTTGAATAGAGTGTCACAGAATAGAGTTACTGCTTCAGAGTGCAGTTCTGACTCCACAAGTTTACAAAGTATAACTAGTCAGAGTGAAGATATAAAACCTTTAATGATTTGTGAGGAGGAACCAAAATTGTCTACTTCTGTTATTAAAGAGTTTGAAAATGATGAACTTGACGGTAAATTGAATATTTGTGATAATGATCATGATACTTCACATTTGTCTTTGGTTGATCATGATGAAATGGAGGGAATGCCTACTACCGCTAAGTTAAATAAAGGTTCTGTACAACTTGAACGTGAAGTAGAAATAAATGCAGATGCAGTTGCAGAAGGCATGCATACTTGTGAGACCGTCAGTGTGATTGATCAGCATGTAGCCCACCTATCATCAGATGCTAGTGCTAAACCTGAGCTGATAGTAAAAGACAGCAGTGGTGGTGGTCTTGCAGGTAGACAAATTTCTGAAAGCCGAGCAACAACAGCTTCTGATCCACCGCTAACTTCATCAACTGATATCAATCAGTCGTCGTTGGTGCTGTCATCCACAATGAAAAAGACGCCCATCAACTCAAGTATCTTGTGCAATGACTATGCTAGTATCAGTTCGTTTGAAAGGACGAATATCAATGGTCAGTTTAGTGAGGATAAGCCAAGTGTAAAGGAGAGAGTAATTGTTAAATTGACTTGCACGAATAAAGGCATTTCTAGTTTCAAGTTACTATTTGAATGTTATTATCTTTGGTGTAAATTACTCTGTTTCTACACTTGGTTGATGAGATATGTCGTGTGTTTGTTCGTCATCTATATTCTACGATACAATGACATGGGCGTGTTGCCGTTCAGATTTGAGGATATAGCTGATAGAAGGAAGTTTGCAAATGAACTCTGCGACGATTTTCCAACCTAGAGCGTCAACCTGAGAAGGGTTGTAGGCGTACTGCTGTAAGTCCTACAATTCTTCAAAGGGTAGCGCATCAATGAGCAGTCCAATGTGCTTGGTGTATGATTTTGTACATATGTTCATATTGTATATACTGAATTGATATCATCTGTCATCTAGCTGTTGGTAATTCTGTTTGTGTCCGGACGACTTCCACTTGGATCATCAACCTGAGAAGGAATGTAGGCGTACTGCTGTAAGTCCTACAGTTCTTCAAGGGTAGTTTGTCGTGCAGAATCCACAAC